TGTATATCTGTACTTATTCGGGTTGATATTGTATATCTGTACTTATTCGGGTTGATATTGTATTTCTGTACTTAATCGGGTTGATATTGTATATCTGTACTTATTTGGGTTGGTATTGTATATCTGTACTTATTTGGGTTGGTATTGTATATCTGTACTTATTCGGGTTGATATTGTATATCTGTATTTATTCGGGTTGGTATTGTATATCTGTACTTATTCGGGTTGGAATCGTATATTTGTACCTATTTAGGTTGGTATTGCATATCTGTACTTATTCGGGTTGGTATTGTATATCTGTACTTATTCGGATTGGTATTGTATATACTTTATATTTCCGGTTGGAATTGTATATCTGTACTTATTAGGGTTGGAAGTGTATATCTGTACTTATTCGGGTTGGTATTGTATATCTGTACTTATTCGGGTTGATATTGTATATCTGTACTTATTCGGGTTGATATTGTATATCTGTAATTATTCGGGTTGGTATTGTATTTCTGTACTTATTAGGGTTGATATTGTATATCTGTACTTATTCGGGTTGATATTGTATATCTGTAATTATTCGGGTTGGTATTGTATTTCTGTACTTAATCGGGTTGATATTGTATATCTGTACTTATTCGGGTTGGTATTTTATATCTGTACTTATTCGGGTTGGTATTGTATATCTGTACTTATTCGGGTTGGTATTGTATTTCTGTACTTATTCAGGTTGATATTGTATATCTGTACTTATTTGGGGTTGTTATATATATCTGTACTTATTCGGGTTGGTATTGCATAGCTGTACTTATTCGGGTTGGTAATGTATATCTGTACTTATTCGGGTGGTTATTGTAAATCTGTTCTTATTCGGATTGGTATGGTATATACTTTATTATTTAGGTTCGAATTGTATATCTGTACTTATTAGGGTTGGAAGTGTATATCTGTACTTATTTGTAATGGATATCTGTACTTTTTCGGGTTGGTATTGCATATCTGTACCTATTCGGGTTGGTATTGTATATCTGTACTTATTCGGGTTGGTATTGTATATCTGTACTTATTTAGGTTGGTATTGCATATCTGTACTTATTTGTAATGGATATCTGTACTTTTTCGGGTTGGTATTGCATATCTGTACTTATTCGGGTTGGTATTGTATATCTGTACTTTTTCGGGTTGGTATTGCATATCTTTACCTATTCGGGTTGGTGTTGTATATCTGTACTTATTTAGGTTGGTATTGTATATCTGTACTTATTTAGGTTGGGATTGTATATCTGTACTTATTTAGGTTGGTATTGCATATCTGTACTTATTTGTAATGGATATCCGTACTTTTTCGGGTTGGTATTGTATATCTATACTTAGTTGGGTTGGTATTGCATATCTGTACTTATTCGGGTTGATATTGTTTATCTGTACTTATTCGGGTTTATATTGTATATCTGTACTTATTTGGGTTGGTATTATATTTCTGTACTTAATCGGGTTGATATTGTATATCTGTGCTTATTCGGCTTGGTATTGTATATCTGTACTTATTCGGGTTGGTATTGTATATCTGTACTTATTTGGGTTGGTATTGTATATCTGTACCTTTTTAGTTTGGTATGGCATATCTCTATTTATTCGGGTTGGTATTGTACATCTGTAGTTATTTGGGTTGGTATTGTATATCTGTACTTATTCGGGTTGATATTGTATATCTGTACTTATTTGGGTTGGTATTGCAAATCTATACTTATTCGGGTTGGTATTGTATATCTGTACTTATTTGGGTTGGTATTGTATTTCTGTACTTAATTGGGTTGATATTGTATATCTGTACTTATTTGGGTTGGTATTGTATATCTGTACCTTTTTAGTTTGGTATGGCATATCTCTATTTATTCGGGTTGGTATTGTACATCTGTAGTTATTTGGGTTGGTATTGTATATCTGTACTTATTCGGGTTGATATTGTATATCTGTACTTATTTGGGTTGGTATTGCAAATCTATACTTATTCGGGTTGGTATTGTATATCTGTACTTATTTGGGTTGGTATTGTATTTCTGTACTTAATTGGGTTGATATTGTATATCTGTACTTATTTGGGTTGGTATTGTATATCTGTACCTTTTTAGTTTGGTATGGCATATCTCTATTTATTCGGGTTGGTATTGTACATCTGTACGTATTTGGGTTGGTATTGTATATCTGTACTTATTCGGGTTGATATTGTATATCTGTACTAATTTGGGTTGGTATTGTATATCTGTACTTATTTGGGTTGGTATTGTATATCTGTACCTATTCAAGTTGACATTGTATATCTATACTTATTCGGGTTGATATTGTATATCGGTACTTATTCCGGTTGATATTGTATTTCTGTACTTATTCGGGTTGATATTGTATATCTGTACTAATTTGGGTTGGTATTGTATATTTGTACTTATTTAGGTTGGTATTGCATATCTGTACTTATTTGGGTTGGTATTGTATATCTGTACATATTTGGGTTGGTATTGTATATCTGTACTTATTCGGGTTGTTATTGTAAATCTGTACTTATTCGGATTGGTATCATATATATTTTATTATTTAGGTTGGAATTGTATATCTGTACTTATTAGGGTTGGAAGTGTATATCTGTTCTTATTCGGGTTGGTATTGTATATCTGTACTTATTCGGGTTGGTATTGCATATCTGTTCTTATTCGGGTTTGTATTGTATATCTGTACTTATTCGGGTTGATATTGTATATCTGTACTAATTTGGGTTGGTATTGTATATTTGTACTTATTTAGGTTTGTATTGCATATCTGTGCTTATTTGGGTTGGTATTGTATATCTGTACCTATTCAAGTTGATATTGTATATCTGTACTTATTCGGGTTGATATTGTATATCGGTACTTATTTGGGTTGGTATTGTATATCTGCACATATTTGGGTTGGTATTGTATATCTGTACTTATTCGGGTTGGTATTGCATATCTGTTCTTATTCGGGTTTGTATTGTATATCTGTACTTATTCGGGTTGTTATTGTAAATCTGTACTTATTCGGATTGGTATTGTATATATTTTATTATTTAGGTTGGAATGTATATCTGTACTTATTAGGGTTGGAAGTGTATATCTGTACTTATTTATAATGGGTATCTGTACTTATTTAGGATGGTATTGCATATCTGTACTTATTCGGATTGGTATTGTATATCTGTACTTTTTCGGATTGGTATTGTATATATTTTATTATTTAGGTTGGAATTGTATATCTGTACTTATTAGGGTTGGAAGTGTATATCTGTACTTATTTGTAATGGATATCTGTACTTTTTCGGGTCGGTATTGGATATCTGTACTTATTTAGGTTGGTATTGTATATCTGTACTTATTTGGGTTGGTATTGCATTTCTGTACTTATTCGGGTATGTAATGGATAGTTGTACTCTTTCGGTAGGTAATGAATATCTGTACTAGTTAGATCGGTATGGATTTATGTACTATAGTGTAGATAATGAAGATATTAATAGCTGATGGTAATATATACCTGTGCTAGTGGTTGGGTAATTTGTACAAATGTTGATTATAGATTCCTTTTTTATATTTAATATACTAATGTTGATATTTAAATACCTGTCCCAGTGGGTGAGTATTTGATATTTAATATACTAATGTTGATAATTAATACTTGTCCTAAGGGCATTAGATATTTAATATACTAATGTTGATAATTAATACTTGTCCTAAGGGCATTAGATATTTAATATACTAATGTTGATAATTAATACTTGTCCTAAGGGCATTAGATATTTAATATACTAATGTTGATAATTAATACTTGTCCTAAGGGCATTAGATATTTAATATACTAATGTTGATAATTAATACTTGTCCTAAGGGCATTAGATATTTAATATACTAATGTTGATAATTAATACTTGTCCTAAGGGCATTAGATATTTAATATACTAATGTTGATAATTAATACTTGTCCTAAGGGCATTAGATATTTAATATACTGATGTTGATAATTAATACCTGTCCTAGTGGGTGAGTATTTGATATGTAATATACTAATGTTGATAATTAATACTTGTCCTAAGGGCATTAGATATTTGATATACTAATGTTGATAATTAATACCTGTCCTAGTGGGTGGGTATTTGATATTTAATATACCAATGTTGAAAATTAATACTTGTCCTAGTGGGTGGGTATTTGATAGTTGTAATTATGTTGATTAAATATACCTGTGCTATGGGTGGGTAGTTGATTTTTGTATTAACATTTGCAATAAATAACTGTGCTTGTTGATTTGTAATTGATATCTGTAATGGTGTGTTGGTACTGAATACAATTGATAATTGTGACAGTGTTTGTTGATCTAATATTTCTATTTCTTATCATTGTAAACTCTTTAATGTACTATGAGAAACCATAGAACCATAGAACCTTAGAAAAAAGTGCTAATATGGAAATGTAAAAAGAGCTGTCAAAAACATGCCAGAGAATATAAATGTGACTGTGGACTTACTAGGTAAACACAGGTTATCCAGATTGGTACTCCACTTCCCATTACTGAGGCAAGTTACAACGTCTATAGACTGGAGTTTGACGAGAGGGGACGGGCATGTCCAGCTGCACGCATCGTTTGCCTTACCCATGCAATCCACTAACTGTCCAAGCTTCATATTGGTCGGACATACTTTCTCTGTAACAGAAACAGTTGTCGAGTTGTGATCAATAGCATGATCAAACGTATCTGTGGAACATGAATATAAAGATGACGTGTTAATTAACATATCGCATTTATATATACATATTACTATACATAGTACTATACATACTACTATATATGTTACTATTCATGCAACTGAACACGTTGCCATACATACAGGTTTTGTGTTATCTTACTGTAGATGAAACAAAGACATACACTTGGGATTACACTCATAAAATATACCAGATTCTTGTTAAAAATAATATAACCCCAAAATGATGATAGGTCTGTATTTATAATTGAATATAAATGACTAGAACTATTGATTGTCCATGTTGTTAACACTGTTGTATTATTTGAGTATGCATTTCCAAAGTAAGGTTAGGTTACTTAAAGTGTTCCCTGTTGTAAGGAATGTAATTTTGATTGACTAGAAATGTTCAATGGCGTGATGTTAGGTATGGAGTTGTTTACTGTCGCGTTCCTTAGTCTGTAGATTTGGATTGGTGGCGGATGTTATAGCCGTTTCTTAAGTTCCTTATGTTCCTTATGTTCCTTCTCCAGGACTGAACCCGGAGTATCCGTAATCCATTATGACCATAGCAAGCATACGGTGTAGCACTGGGATTAGTCAGACATTAGAAAGATACGTCGCAGCCCCGAAAAACAATAATACCCACAGCTACAGCAAACAAGAGCACAAGGGTGCATGATATGCCGTCGACAGCCATAATGATGTAGGTATAGAGATGAAACAGTTAGTCAGTCATAAGACGAAGTCTTAGTAACTGACTGGAAATGACAAGGAGATGTAGTGACACATATGACCTGTTGGAATGATAAAAATGGTAAAAACGGCAGTGTGACCTTTGAACCCGACTATCTACCTTAGGCTACACATATTTGACACTTGTGAAATGGAAACACTCCTACACACAGTACTTTAACCTTGTAATTAACCTGTTGTTGAATACTAGGCAACAAACAATTTAAACGAATTATGTTATCAATTATTGTAACAAAATTGCTGGAAATCAAACTTTATTGTCAAAAGCACATTGTTAGATCTTATTCTTTGTTTATTAGTAGTGACCAAGTTTTAGGCAAATCAAGTGATAGTCTTTGTCTATTTAATAGTGACCTATTTTTATACAAACCAAGCGATATTCTTTGTATATTTAGTATGGTGACCATTTTTTATGTTAACCAAGTAATATTAAGTTATCTCGCAGAAACAAAATGCAGACCTATGAAAGTCTTAGTCCCCGGCGCCCTTCTCCATATTTATCTACCGAAGTCTATATCAATTCTATAAATTCCGTATTTAAAAGATATTATGCAGATAGTACTGATTGATCAGATTGCTGTGTGGACATTAGGTACATGTGTATGCCTAAATTCTGCTGATCATTGAATTAAGTTTTTATTTTACTTTTCGAATATGTATTTGCTGACCAAGTTTCATTGAATGTTTTATCAAATTTATGGAAGTTATATCATGGACGCGTTTAACTGTTTTACAGCTAACAAAATCTATATTTGCAACAGAAACATCCAGTTACAGTAAACAATAGCTATAGCTTCAAGAAGAACAACACCACAGTTACAGCAAACAAAATCAACAGTCAGCTTAAAAAACATAACAGAAAGTTACATCACACACAACTACAGCAAAAGCAATCAAAAGAAACAGCAAACAATTTCGACAGCTTCAGCATCATTGTCGATATTTATAAACTACATCACCCATAGTTATAACAAATCACCCATAGCAACACCATCCATGTTTACCTCAACAACATCCATAGTTAACAGCAATTGCTATACCAGTAACAAACATCCATGCTTACTACAACAATACCCATAGCTACACATACGACACCCCTAGCTACACCAGCAACAACATCCATGCTTACTACAAAGACACCAATAGCTTCAGAAACACCCGTTGCTACAACAACGACACCGATAGCTACAGTAAACAACACAAATATATTAAAAAACGACACCCTTATCTCCAACAGCATCGATAACTATAGCAACATCGATAGCTACAACAACAACATACATTGTTAAAGCAACGACATCATAACTACAACAGCTATATACATATAACAACAACATAATTGGCTACAACAACACCTAAAGCTACAACAAGAAAAAGACCCCTGATAAAACAAACAACTCCATAGAAACACCACACAACATCCAAAACTATAATAAAACAGCATCAGATATAGCAAACACAAACGACATCCATATCTACGACAAACATCCATAGCTAGAGTGACCACAATGTGCTGGATTACTGGAATTGGTTCATAAGTTACACTCCAAGCTATTAGTGTTTGGCAGCACCTCCTCGGCTGTACCTGGCTGTATGTTTGGGCCAGTGGTGGTAGGTGTAGTAGTGGACATCCGGGTGGTGGTGATCAACTTAGGCAAGGTCGTTGTTAGAACATTGTGTACAGTTGTAGTCACGTGTGTAGATGTATCATGATCTGTGGCCGTATACTTTGTTGTGATTGTTGGAGGGTGTTGCGTTGTTGATTTGGCTTATGAAAATAAATTTGTTTAATATAGATAGAAAAAAAGCACATTGTTAGTCATCATCATGTTTACTTTTTGACAATTCAGTAAACGGTGAATGTTTGAAAAAGGAAATTAGTAATACTTATATGAAAGTATTAACAATTTAAATCTAACATATTAGTAACTCTAATTATGGGTGAACAATTCAGTTTTCTGCTATACAGCATTTTAAATATAATTTGTATTTGCAAAAACATGTGAACAGGCATACATTGAATAAACAATAGGGAATAATTGCAAAAGGAATAGAAAATTTTAACCTAATACACTTAACTGATGTAATAAGGCATTGTTTCTACATGATGTAACACAATTGTATTCAGCAAAACCAAAGATTTGACATAGACTATGACTTACCTAAAACACAGGAGTGTTAACATGGATTGCGACTTACCTATAACACATAACGTTTGACATGGACTGTGACTTACCTATAACACATAACGTTTGACATGGACTGTGACTTACCTATAACACAGAATGGTTGACATGGACTGTGACTTACCTATAACACAGAATGGTTGACATGGACTGTGACTTACCTATAACACAGAATGGTTGACATGGACTGTGACTTACCTATAACACAGAATGGTTGACAAGGACCGTGACTTACCTATATCACAGAATGGTTGACATGGACTGTGACTTACCTATAACCCATAACGTTTGACAGAGTAAGTGACTTACCCATAACACAGGATGTTTGACAGAGTAGGTGACTTACCTTTAACAAAGGACGTTTGACATGGACTGTGACTTACCTATAATAAAGGAGTTTTGACATAGACTGCAAATGCAAACTGATATACCACAGAAGGTTTGACATAGACTGTGACTTACCTATAACACAGGATGTTTGACAGAGTAGGTGACTTACCTATAACACAGGAGGATTGACATAGTAGGTAACTTACCTATAACACAGGATGTTTGACAGAGTAGGTGACTTACCTATATAATAGGACGTTTTACATAGTAGGTAACTTAACTATAACACAGGACGTTTGACAGAGTAGGTGACTTACCGATAGCACAGAAGGATTGGCAGAATAGGGGAATTACCTATAACACAGGAGGATTGACAGAGTAGGTGACTTACCTATAACACAGGAGGATTGACTTAGTAGGTGACTTACCTATAACACAGGACGTTTGACAGAGTATGTGATTTTCCTATAGCACAGGAGGTTTGACAGAGTAGGTGACTTACCTATAGCACAGGAGGTTTGACGTGGACTGTGACTTACCTATAATACAGGATGTTTGACGTATTTACCTGGGGTTTCACTGGGTCTTTGACTTACCTATACAAAGGCTGTCAGTAGGGAAGTTCCAGAACAGGGAAGATGTACAGTTGAGAATGGTTATCGACGGGTTCTTAGCGTAATTGACTGTTGTACAACTATATCCACAACTTGTACCAATACGGGCTGAACAACCAGGGTTGAGCAGGCCATTCGGAATCTGCATTGGGCATGTCGGTGGAGCTACAAAAGGCATTTTACAGGTGAAAGACTTAGATAAAAACGTGTAACGGATATTAAAAAAAAATCTAGTAAAAAGGACAGAAAATATAATTTACGCACAAGGATAGTCCCATTTTTGCATATAGTTATGAAGTTCTGTATAATGCAAGGTAATCTACTATTGGTACATTCAACGATTAGATCTAGCGTGTATGAAAGGATGGGGATTATAACTCCTCAAGCAAGATTACAGGTTTTAGAAAATACATCTGTGAGGCGTAATCATATTTTAAAATAGTTATATTTATTTAATGAAAAGCAAGGAAAAGTAAGAAAATGGAAGACTTATCTTACCTGTAGTACAGGTTAGCTGGGTGTTTTGGTCGAGGTACATCCCGTCTGGACAGCCACACTTTTTACCACTTGGTGTGGAGAAACAGTAGTGGGAACACATGCCTTTGTTACTGCCACACAGGGCATTTACTGTAATACAATACATCAGTTTCAATAAGCCATTTTCCTTCCTTCCCACCCCTTAAACACTGTTTATATAATTGTCTCTATAATACATTGTAGATGTTGCTGATGCACCACCCGAGTTAAGCGAGATCAACTTTGAGCCTGTGTTATGAGGATATCACTTTGTAGTAACATGAATTTGTAGCCGTCGTGACGTAACCAGAAACATGATGTCACAAATACACACCGACCGCAACAACATACCGTTTGAATTGTGCCACTCTTTATTTATTATTATCGAATCCCTTAATTAGAAAATAAATTCAAATGTTTCACCTATGATCAGAGACCATACTGACAATCTGAAGTCTTTTTTTAGATTTGTCATTCATTAAAAAGCCCAGTATCCCCATAAGCTGAAGGGTGCATACACAAATTGATTTAATCAAGGTGAATCAGTTTAAAAAACTTAAGCAAATTACAGCAGCAATCTAGAGGCAGTACAGTTTTTGAGAGGAAGTCATGTTTGACCCATGTGTCCTCAACAGTCCGTTGGAAATATAATAATAAATAGTATAAACAAGTAATAGAGTGAGCAATACGATATATTCTGTTTAATGTTTCTTAAGAGGAAGATATTCATTTTATTGCATAAAACCCTGGTGACCTTCAATTAAGTCATTTGAACTCAAGGCTGACTTCTGTCTCAAGGCACAACAATACCGACGAATAAAGCGTTTTGAAGTTTAACACAACTCCTCTAATAATCAAAGTCTCGATCAATTTAAGTACCCTTCAGGTTCATTGTAATGGATCTGTGTATTTGCAGTGCCTTCACATATGCCCCTAATATGACCCTACGTGCCAGAACGCCAGCTACCATGTCAGTTCGAAATGGTGAGGGTTAAAAAAATAAATTTTTTTAAATTAAAAAATAAAATAAAAAAATCTCTCCGCATTTTATAATATCCAGACAAATGATTCCCCCAATGATCTATAGACACAGCTCGGTTAATGTATGTATGTACCTGGATACAGCCCGGTTAATGTATGTACCTTGACACAGACCGGTATGTATGTACCTGAACACAGACCGGTATGTATGTACCTTGACACAGCCCGGTTAATGTATGTACCTGGACACAGCTTGGTAAATGTATGTACCTGGACACAGCTTGGTAAATGTATGTACCTGGACATAGCTTGGTTAATGTATGTACCTGGACACAGCCCGGTTAATGTATGTACCTGGTTACAGCTTGGTAAATGTATGTACCTGGACAGAGCTTGGTAAATGTATGTACCTGGTTGTGTGTTTTCTGTAGGCACAATGTCCACAGAGTCCAAAACTCCAAATTCTGGCTGCGAAGTCATATATTGTACAGGTTGCTTGGTGTTTATATCAACTTTAGTTATTCGGCTGCAAAAAGAAAGGTTTTGAAAACATATAAAAACATTAAGTAATGTATGAGAAGTCAATCTAATTTTGACTATAGATAGAAACAATGTTCAAGGAATAGTGTAATAAACCAAAGTATTACCAATACCACAAAATACAAACGCAATGATGTACATGCCAGTAACTGGAGGACTGAGATGGGAGGAGGGGTCGAATATACCTCTCCTTGCTGTTTGCCCTCTATATTTTCTTCCAAACAAAACTTCAACTCTAAAAGAATGACACAGATATTTCCTTTAGCTGTATTAATTATTGCTGTTATTTTGCAGATTTAAACGCTAAAACGATATAAATCTATTTCAACTATTTAAAATAGATATTTAGAAAAATATGAATTAAGGAGGGTGATTCTTCTGGATAATAAATATTTCACTGAAGCCTCTGAACTTACTGTTTGTTGTAACCGACGTAGTAGAGAAAGCCAGCAGAAACCGTCAGGTCCACCATGTCAGACGTCATATCCCGTAAAAGCACACCGCGTGAAGAAGTTGTTCCCTCCAGGTCAATAAACTCAATTTTGTCCTGGTCAGTATATGCATCCGCCCAGTACAACAATCCACCTGTAACACAACGACAAGTCAATACTCAGTATAGTCAGCAGTCCAGTACAACATCCCCTTTGTAACACAACGACAAGTCAACACTCAGTATAGGCAGCAGGCCAGTACAACGGCCCCTCTGTAACACAACGACAAGTCGACAGTCAGTATAGTCAGCAGTCCAGTACACCGTCCCCTCGGTAACACAACGACAAGTCAACACTCAGTGGAGTCAGCAGTCCAGTACAACATCCCCTCTGTGACACAACGACAAGTCAACACTCAGTATAGGCAGCAGGCCAGTACAACGGCCCCTCTGTAACACAACGACAAGTCGACAGTCAGTATAGTCAGCAGTCCAGTACAGCATCCCCTCTGTAACACAACGACAAGTCAACACTCAGTGTAGTCAGCAGTCCAGTACAACATCCCCCTGTAACACAACGACAAATCAACACTCAGTATAGTCAGCAGTCCAGTACAACATCCCCTTTGTAACACAACGACAAGTCAACACTCAGTATAGTCAGCAGTCCAGTACAACATCCCCTCTGTAACACAACGACAAGTCAACACTCAGTATAGTCAGCAGTCCAGTACAACATCCCCTCTGTAACACAACGACAAGTCAACACTCAGTATAGTCAGCAGTCCAGTACA